GGTTTATTTTCAAACAACTTTACTTCTTAAAAATGGTTGATACAAATGTTTGTAAGCACTTACTTGAGAACTCAAGTTACGGCAGGAGATGACATTTGTACATTCGCACGGACGCACTTGGCTTTTCGACTCTGTCGATGTCTTCAGCTTTCAAATTCTTTTATTAATCTAATAACATATTGTTACAGAATGCCTATGTTCAGAGAAACGCTCAGGAAAACGTTGCTCATTAGAAAAAAAAAGACGCAGTTAAAACATCTGGCAACGTAACACTTTCCCCCTAAGTGATGGCGTAGTTTTATCTGCTTTCTCGAACCAGATGTAAATTAAGTCATAAAAGTGAATTAGTCATTTTAATATGCAACTTCAGTCGCTGGTGGGTATGTTACAATTATAGGGTATCTTTGTTGCATAACGACTTTTTCGATAAGGAATATGAAGTTATACCGTTGACCAGGTTACAGGCCTCCTTCCAGCGATAAAGTTCGAAAGTTTTATTTTTTCTTAAATAAATCGTTGTCTTGATAGGGCTTCCACTGGGTAGGGACGAATTGACATCTTTCCTAAGGATTTTCAGCAGCAAAGTTTACATTCTTCCAGGGGGTAATTTTTTATATTAGTTCGGGTATGTTACAATGAGTAGATTAATGTAAAATGGAGAATTAAAAGCTCACGTATCAAACTCAGCTGACCTCAACAGACTGCAGTGATTTAAGCTGTATTTCTCTATGACATAATAGTAATAAAGGACACTGGGGAAAATTTCAGTTTTCATTAAATACTTTACTGATGCAGGCAAACTTTGCGACTCCGAGAAGAGTATTAAAAGACTCACAGATCTGCAGAGAGCAAGTCATTTATTCGGTGTTCCCCAGTTTTCCGGGGTTCATGATAACAGCCAATCAAAGCTTTTTAATAGATCGGCTTTACACGGCTCAAATGTATCCACGAAGCTTCTTTCAATAGCAATGAAAAATAACGTTTCTAAAAATTCAAGGTTTTAATGCTGCCATTGTTCGATGTACCAGTGCAGCCAGCGATGTCAAAGCAGAGTCATTTAAGAGCCAAGGCCACAACGCGATGCAATTTCGCCTTTTAATTTTGTGCGCTAACAGGGGATCCTTTCATCTTTTTGAAAATGAAAATTGTCATTAAGTTCAAGTCTGTCTAGAAATCCGCTGAATTAATGTACTTTGGGCCGCGGGAAACTCTCGGAGTGACGCCGATGCACTGCGGGAGCTCCATGAGCGAGGTGCTTGAAAACTTGAATTAGATGGGGCACGTGGTGCGCAGCCTACGACCGCGGTGCATTTTCACTCATTTCAACCATGGTATTCTTACCATGGGGTCGCGGCGTTTCGAAGAGGAAAGTTCAAGTCCATTTGAATAAACAAACGGGGTGGAGTGCTTTTTTTCTCTTTTGTTTAAACTCAAATTATTTATTGGTTTGCTTTTGTTATAGGCCACGAGAACTCCATCCTTTTCTGCGAAATCCGCTCCGAGAGTCGAAAAGGCGGGAAGCTTTGATTTACGCATCGCGGGAGCTCCACGAGTCGGGCGCTCGAAAAGTATTTTATAGATTCACGATCAATAACAATCATATTCATGCCAAGTTGTAATAATTCATGGGAAAAACTATTAATCAGCGGGCTAAGCCAAGCTGGGGTAGCTTGACTAGGGAAGTGTTCAAGATACGACCCATGCGATTTTTGCTGGGTGGGAAAGCGGGCTGTTCACCTCTTCGTGGCTTTGCTGAAAGTTGAGCAAGAATGAATCATTTTCACGCCAAACCAGAATTTGTCACCGGTAATTACGTAATTGCGCGTGAAACTGCTCAACTAGCCATAAAATATCATCATTACAAGTATTCCAACTTCGCATATCATTGTGAGTGTTATGAATAATAGGAATGACGGACTAAGCAAACACTCCGCATGTACGAGAGTTTGAAAATCATTTAGGGGGACTTCAGAAGCGTGTCCAGCGTGAGTGAGAAAAAGAAAGTTAAATTCATAACTATTTCAATGCGTAAGACATTGAAAGAAGGATTTTGGAGAAATGTTAAATCTTAGTCTTATTTCATTTTTTATCTTTTGATAAGTAGTTTTTTAGAGAAGCTTTTTCAAGATAAAAAATTAGTGATAATAATTTTGAACGACGTTTCGACCTCGCTGAGGTCATTTTCAATCTGATGAAAAGGAAAATTTTTATATATTTTTACTAAATTCAAGACGTGGGAATGATAAAGGCGATAAAATATGGAAATATGTAAACACTAGGCGTAAAATAGAAGTGATAAAATTGCAAAGGAGACAATACGAAAGTAAATTATTATAAAAATAGCTTTGCGCGGATTGAGCCTGACTGTTTGTTCAAGCTTGGCTTAATTTCTTTTCTAAAGAGCATCTCGTAAATTGGGCAGTCCAGTTTACTTTTGCATTTCTTCAGGATTTTGAAAGTGTGATGCAAGTCGCTTGGGATATGCCCATGCCGCTCTTTAATGTGGTTCCCGATTGAAGACTGAGACGCTTTCTGTTCTTCAGCACGTTGGTCGAAGTGCCGGCATGTGTAGCCGACATAGTCTGCATCGCACAGACCACACTTGAAATAATACACAACGCGCTGCTGATTGATGATGTTGGGCTTCTCTTCCGTTGGTTTTAATTCATATCCGATCTTTCTGTTAGTGTACACAGGAGAAATATCAGTTCCAATTTTTCGGCTTAGGTCACCAAGTTGCCTTCGTACGGAATTTGCTGATGTTTGGTCCTTAAAAGGAAGTATAATTCGCACGGGTATTTTTCTCTCGTCAGACGTTTGATTGATCCCTGGATCCCCAGACACTTTTTTCGTCATGAAATCATTCATGGTCGAATGCAATAGTTGAGCTGGGTACTTGAGTCGCGAGAAGGTTTCGGTGAGACGTTCGCACTCTTGGTGAAAAAATTGCCATTTAGATGACAACTTAAAGGCACGATTTACCATTGTTTTAAGCAATGATTGTTTATATCTTACGTCGACGTGACTCTGATAATGCAATAACATACCAGTATCAGGTGGCCTCTTGTACACCTTCGTTTCCAGACGGCAATTTCGTTGCATGATTTCAGTTCCCAGAAAAGACAATTTGCCGTTCACGGCCAGTTCCATGGTGAAACTGACGGAAGGATGACTTTCGTTCAGTATGGCTAGGAACTTTTCAGCTGTTTCCGTGTCTGCCATTATGCTTAGGGTGTCGTCTACGTACCGTTTGTAGAATTCGGGCATTTTGCCTTGTTCCTCGAGTCGATCATCGATACTGCACATGAATGCATTGACCATTAGGGGCCCAAGTGGCAATCCCATGGCAACGCCATCGATTTCAGTTGTTCGTACAAGTTGCCCTCGAACTGGAATAACTGGTGCTTTGTGGCAATATTCAAAAGCTCCACAAGCTCTGCTTTTGTGATTCTGAGATTATGTTCTGTATTGAACCAGTCGTCATGAAACGCTTTTTCAGCAAGGATAGCTATTGTTTCGTCGACAGGAACGTTGGTAAAGAGCGAGGTTACATCGTATGAAACAGGGACACAACGATCATCTACTTCCATATCATGGAGAGCATCCACGAACTCAAAAATATCACTGATTGTGTGACTGTTGGCTGATAGTGGTTTGAGTTTTTCATCCAGCCACTTTGCTAACTTGAAATTATATGTCCCCGTTGCGGATAAGATGGGGCGCATTGCTAACCGGCGCTTATGGGTTTTCGGTAAGCCATATAGGTGAGCAAGCCTCGAACCTTTTTGAATGACTTGTTGGGCGATTTCTTTGGGAAATATTCTTTGTACGGCGGTGGCTAATTCTTTTTCTTTCTGTAATAGCGGATGATAGTGCTTTGGTGGTCGCCCCCTCATTTAAGCGAAATGGATTTAGAGTTTCTATTAACTATCTAACATGGATAGCACTGAACATTTTTCAGTTACCTTTCATGATTATTCGAAGTTAACTTTTGGAACAGTTTGCTATATAACTGCCACTTGAAAGCTTAAAAATCGGGATCAGTGATAATTGCTATTACAGATAGGAGTTGATTTTTAAAGCTGTAACATTTATGATAAGAAGGAAGGATGCAAATTCAAAACCTCTGTCAATTATGCGTCAGTGCTAAGTAGCCGTGCATCTGTATTTCGCCAGAGGGTTACTTTACTCTCTCTCTTACAAACTTATCCAGTTTAACCCAAAACAAAACCGCCAATTCTGTTTACCATAATTTATCGTTTTTTTACCTTGGAAGGGACAGTAATTTAATCTAAGCACAGACATCGTGCACTTCTAACTATTATGAGATCACTGGACCTGTAAGTAAATGGGAGAAATTTCATTATAAACTTTCGCACAAGAGCCGCTATGACGACGAGATCAACTTTCTTTGCCAAGCACCTTATGTTTTTGAAAAGATAATACAAGTATGTGCTTTCTGTTGGTTTAAGAAGAGTGCGTCCGTGATCAAACATTATTCCCTATGAATTTAATGCAAGGCAAGGAAAAAGCAGGTGGCAGGCAAAACAATTGACGGTTTTAAAAAAAACTCGCATTACTTTCAGGAGAAAACTGTATGTTTTGGCCATTTAAAGTTTTATCTGAGTTAACAAAGTCTCTATTCGTGTGTTTTTGTTTTTCAAGGTAGTATTTACTCACGATGCAAATATTATTTCAACCAGCAAAATAATTTCCCTTCCGAAAATTAAGGTAAAATTGTTTACCCAGGGCGAAGTACTACTTTGCATGACAATCCGAACGCTGTTGAGAGGTTTTTGAGCCTTAGGGGA